AAACTTCATCAAAGGTTTCTCTGAGCAAATCTTTGCCTAAAGTGCTTTCGAAGAACACCCCAGCACAATGACTGCCATTCGGCTGACAGATGCAAGTAAACAGCAATGGTTTCGGTGTATTGACCATGTTATCATGGGAAAGAACCAATCTGTCTTGGGAAACAAGTTAAAAGCTTAAAAATCATAGGTGGAAAAAGAATTGATTAGACAGCGACAGGACTAAAAATTACAAATGCTATAAAGAGCATGAGTATTTTATGTGTTACTCAGTAAGAAGTAAGGGCTTTCCTGTTAACTGAGCAGGCAGCACTGGAAGCAAAGAAAATACTTTTCCCACTTACAATACAAAATTAGAAAGATTCACTGTCAGATGATGTCATGGAGGCTAGACACAGACAGACTCAAAACAAGATTAAACAAATTAATGGAGGACAGATCCATTAATGATTATGAAGCAGGATGGCCCCAAATCCAGCTTTGGCCAAGAACAGCCCTTAACTGCTGACTATTAAAAGAAGAGGGGATCCTTCCATATCTATCTTTTCCCTTGTAATTTTGCCCCCACCATCTGCTACGAGCCCCAATCACACAGCATATTGAACTAGACAGACCAGTATAGTCTGACCCACTAAGTCTTTTTTCTTGCTCTCACAGGACATTGCAACCATGATCTTTTTTGCATGACTACTAAAAAATATTCAGCATGGCACAGACTTGTAATTTCTTTCACTAAGATGTCTTCCAGGCTAAACACACATCCTCACCCTACACTGTCACCCCCCTACAGGACAATGGACTGTTCTCATGACACAGCCACAACAAAGCAAAGACAGAAAAAAATTATGTAGGGTCTGAGCTCGTGCTGAGATCACAATAGGTCAAGGAGGCGTCACCAGGGGACTCCTGGGTAGTCTGAGGGTCAGAGGGGATGGTGAGACTGTGACAATCCTCTCAAGCGGAACTGGAGTTTTCTGAAAAACAAAAACTCAATGTCCGAGAATCTGACTCTACCCACACAGTAGCTGCAAGGGATAAAAGGAGACCATTTTTGTTTCCGCTGAAGAACTAAGCCTTCATTTGCTTTAAAACACAGCATCTGAGAGAGGAGGCAATCAGAAACCCCAGAAATCCTACAGTAATTAATAGGAAATAGAGCTATCGGGAACCCCGCGAGCCTAAGCCTGGAGTGCCCTCTAGGGGTAAAAGACTGGTAAGCCGCATACCCCAAACTACTTCCTCCGGTGAAGTCCTGGACCAAACTAAACCTTTCCTTAATGAAGTTATAGTGAGGCTTCATTTAGCCTATACTTGCCTGGACAAAAAAAGGAATTATCCACGGTTGGCTGAGTTCTCCTTCTCCTTGTCCTATTTTTCCTCTGATCCACAATGCTGCTGCGATGGTAACACGACCCGAGTTTTAAAAGTCTCGCTTTGGGAAAAGGACTTTCTTCTTCATTAATACAGTGACTGAGCAATGCTGAGACAGGGATTCCTTGACATTACAATAATAATCGCATAACAAAGATAATTCATGAGGCTGAGCACACCCCTAAACTTTGGCCCAAACACCTCCCCATTGCAGAAACCTGGCTGTGGTGGTCACGCAAGGAAAGCGGGCAGGACGCTGGGTTCTGCAAGCCCTTGCAAACCCAGTCAGTGCTTGTAGCAGCGAGCCCAAAGCTTTGCTCACAGAGGGCCGGGTAACTGGAGGAAGGTGAGACTGAGGACTGCTTAACAAAACTCTCCTCCAATGCAGTGTGTCTGTGCTCACAAAAGTATCTATCAGCCCTGCACGCCAAGAAGCTATGACTGAATGCAATCAGCTTTGTTATCCCACTCTCAGAGCTTAAACAGGACCTGCTAGTTTCCTAATTTTGGCTGCCTGTCCCCTCCCCACCCGGATTCCCACGGAACAGAAGAACGAAGCCACATGTGCTGAAAAAAATATTCCCAGAGGGAGCAAACGGGAGAGGGCTCAGCTACCAGAGAGAACAAAACATACTACAAAGGGGCAAATTTCACACAGGGCAAAGTTGGCAAAGTTAAGCAGGCAACTGAGCTTCTCCCTTTGCATGTGTCTCTGTCCCCAGGACTGAAACAATGCTGGTGGTTTATGTCATACTGTGTTTGCCTTCGTGCCATTACCAACACATCTGGGAACAAGAGTCATAACCCTTCTGTTGTAACGATAGAATAAAACGTGCATCATAAAGATGGCTCCTCTCCTTTTCAGACTTTGAATCAACAAGCAGGAGTATTTGCAGACCCTACATTAATATAACTAGGAAGCAAATTTTGCAGCTACTTGTGTATCTGCACTAACAAGTAAATTTAGGGAGTCACATTTACTCAGCCAAGGACAAGATGTGCCATGTGCCTTGTGTGTGCAGTCACTGATAAGCAACTTGAACCTGGGATATCAATGTTGATAATGACCTGCTTCCTAAAGAACAAGGGTTATTTACAGATATTTGGTGAAAACATTCAGCACTATTGGTTTTAAGAATGCTGCAGACAAATCCTAAACAGAAAGAGAGCAACAGATGCAACTAACTTCAGTATTTTTGAAAGGAGATATTTCCACTGCAGTTCTAAAGTCCAGTGAAGTCTGGAGAAATTACTCTGATGAAACAAAACATAGATATACCCCAACCCAAACACACCCCACAAAGCTCTGAGTCAGAGATGACAAACCTTTCCTTCCTAGCAGAAGGAAAGGATCTAGACACCAACTCTCTTTGTGCAACAGGTTACACACAGTACACGGTTCCTGGAAGCAGCACATGCCTAAAGCAATGTCCTGCCAGGTGCTGCTAAACAGCTGGGTCTTGTCCCCATGCTCTTGCTGTCCAAGTAATCCCCCCAGCACATCACAAGAAAACTCTCAGTCGCCAACAGAGCTCCATTCCTGAGCTACCATCATAAACTTCTGGCCTTCCATAATAAATGTGCTAAAAATGTGCCTTCATAGTAAGTACAGTGACACATCAAATAAAGTTTTCCCAGAGAGACAAGGTTTGGGTTAAGCTGTTTATGCTACATTTTTGCACCAGGGTATGTTAAGTGGTTTTAATCTCAGCATGTTACACAGCACTGCACTTCACTTGGGGCCAGTGGAGATGCTTTTACCAAAATCACGCATGTGGGCGCAATTAACAACATTCTCAGGCATTAGCCACCCTGGCTTCCACACCACACAATAGGCCTTTGAAGCCTGGCACCACATGGAGAGTTATCCCTGGTTTTAATGCTCACGTCACATCCACGAATTAATGGGGAGTTAAGAGTTGGAAATACTCTCTTGAATCAACCAGAGCAGAAATACTGTTGACAATAACAAAGCTAACCATTGCTGGGCTCCAACTGGCAGAACTATTCCTTAGAGCCCTAACTCCAAACTTAATCGCCCCAGAGTGATCAAACCCAGGCACCAGAGAGAGCTCACACCTTCTCTGGACACAAGCCTCAAATCTCTATGATTTAGGGCCCAGCAGGCTCTCAATGAGATGCTGCTGATGCCCCACACCAAATCAAGACTCTGGTTCTGAATATTCTTCTACAGGCTGAGATGAGAGGATGTCTAAGTGGTAGTTGTGCTGATTCCCACTAACTTGCCTGGAACCCTCTCATGGATTTCAGTAGCGCCCTCTTCTTCAAACGGCACAACAGAAGCACAGGCTGTCTTTGCCTTTTAACTTTTGTGTAATAAAAGGTATCAGATGAAGGATTCTGAAGACTGCATCCTCTCTTTAGTGAGCTGCTGCTTTCTTCATACATTCCCAATACTATCCCTTCCCCAGAAAAAGCAAAGGTGGTCTTCCCATCTCCAAAGCCCACTCAGACCTTGGCATCTCTTCTGACATTGTCAGTAGGGGACATTCTGTCTGAATGAGCCTTTTCATTCTTTTTACAGCACGGGCCCCTACTCATAGAGACCTGAGCAGAGGGCCGCCTCCACATTACAACAGTCACCAAGCAGCAGGCAAACAATTGAAGAAATGACTATTAGACTGAAACAGGTTTAAGCTTCTGGGACTCCTAAATGGACAAGCTATGGAGACCACTTCATCTCCAAAAGTTAACACAGGCTTCAAAAGAAAACAAATTCTCAGAAGAAAAAACAAAACAAAACAACAAAAAAGAACCAACCCAAAACAAAAAAAACCCTCACAAACCCTAAAACCTCCTGAGGACTAGCAAACAGAGAGACTTCCTTGCTAGGATGGTCCATGAGCTGAAAGCTAGGCTACTGTCAGGGAAAGGTCACCATGTAGTTCTTAGGCTTCTCCCTAGCAGCAGGAACACTGGGGAAAATGGAGTTTTAACTTGATCACGTATGGCTGTCCTTTATATTCTTACAACTGACATTAATATTTAAGTCCAGCCCAGGTCAGAACTTACCCTTCAGTTTTCAGTGTTTTTTTGTTACCGTTCAGGAAACAACCCTTCAGGTTCCAGTGTTTGTCCAGAAACCACTGTGGAGCCTTCAGACAGGTGGTAGGTGCCATTTCCTACCAGCCTGCACTGTTTTAGTCTGCACACGGACAAACAAGCTCTCTGGAGTCCATTACTAGCTTTCTACTACTGCAGGATTTTGCCAACAACCTTTGGACAACTTTGAGATTCTTGTCCTTGTATCAAAGTACTAACCCACTGGGATACAGCAGTATAGGTTTTGAACTTCTAGGAGTCATTACTATAGCAGAAATAAGGAAAGAAAGCCAAGTCCTTCCATCAATGGAGATGGATTTCTGTGTAATTAAGTGATATGCTAGCTTGCAACATCTCTTGCTCTGAGCCAGCAGGCAAAGTTCACCAGCATCAGTTCCAGATCACAAGCTTATAATCCCCCTCTGTTCTAAAAGAAGTGGAGTGATCTGACCTCCTCATCACTACAACCTCACGATATACAGGGCGCCTTCATAGCAATGCTATGATTGTATTGTATGATGTAATCCACAGATTCAAGCCTGTCCCCGCCACGTTCCCCACATTCATACCTCTGTTTCAGGCCGAGGGATAAATACTGGGGGTCTCATCTTCAGAGTCAGGTCCTGAAAGTCCCACTCACCAAGCACATACTGCACTGGCATTCTGTGGCAGGCAAAAGCAAGCGTTAACACTTTAGGACTATACTCCATAACATGGAAAAGCTCTCAATACCATGCTTACCTCATTACTAACCACATAACCCTTCTGAGGGTGAGCACCTAGACACCCCTAAGGCTCTTAACTGCATGGGCAATGTGCATCTGCACTCTAAGGGAGCTGTGGGAGCTCCATTCTCACAGAACAGTTTGTTATCAAGCACTGGACCCAGGGAACTACAGGACAGTCAGCCTCACCTCGATACCAGGGACAGGGATGGAACAAATAGTCCTAGAGATCGTTTCCAAACATACTAAGTACAGGAGGGTGACTGGGAGTAGTCAGCATGGATTTACAAAGGGGAAACTGTTCCTGACCAACCTAATAGCCACCCATGACACAATGACTAACTCGGTGCAGGAGGAGAGGGTAATCAATACTGTTTATCTAGACTTTCCCAAGGCTTTTGATACTGTCTCCCACAACATCCTCATATACAAGCTGATGAAGTACGGACTAGATAAATGAGCTGGACTGAAAATTGACTGAACTGGCAGGCTCGGAGGGCTGTGTTCAGCGGCACAAAGTCCAGCTGAAGGCCGATCACTAGCGGAGCACCCCTGGGGTTAATAGTGGGGCCAATATAGCATAACATCTTCATTAATGATCTGGATGAAGGGACAGAGAGTACCCTTGGCATGTCTGCAGATGATAGAAAATTGGAAGGAGTGGTTAATAGGGTGTGCTACTTTTCAGAGGGACTTCAGGAGGCTGGAGAAATGGGCTGACAGGAACCTCATGAAATTCAGCAAAGGGTAATGCGAAGTCCAATAAACTGGGGAGGAATAATCCCATGTACCAGTACAGGCTGGGGGCCAACCAGCTGGACAGCGGCCTTGCAGAAAAGGCCCTGGGGATCGAGTGGACAAGTTGACCATGAGCCAGCAATGTGCCCTTGCAGGAAAAGAAGGCCAATGGCTTCCTGGGCTGCATTAGGCAGAGCACTGCCAGAAGGTCAAGGGAGGGGATCCTTCCCCTCTATTCAGCACTGGTAGGAAACATCTGGAGCGCAGGGCTCCCAGTAGAGGAGAGCCATGGACATACTGGAGTAAGTCCAACAAATGGCCATTAAGATGATTAAAGAATTGGAGCATCTGACATACAAGGAGAGATTGAGAGCTGGGACAGTTTAGCCTTGAGAAGGGAAGGCTCGGGCTGGGGGGGCAGGGGAGTGAAATCTCATCAATGACCATATGTATCTGGTGAGATGGAGTAAAGAAGACAGAGCCTGACCCTGTTCAGTGGTATCCAGAAAAAAGGCAGGCAAAGGGCACAGACTGAAATACAGAAAATTTCATTTGAACTTAAGAATCACACCCCTTTTTTTTTTCTCTCTCTTCTTTTTTTAAACACTGTGAGGGTGGTCAACACTGGAACAGGCTGTCCAGAGAGGTTGCATAGTATCTTTCTTCGGATATATTAAAAACTGAATTGGGCATGACTGAGCAACTTGCTCTAGTTGATCCTGCTTTGAGCGGGGGAGTGGACTAGACTTCCAGCGGTCTCTGTCAACCTCCATGATTCTATGAATTTTGGGGCTATGTTTTCAGCTGCTGTGAGGCACCATACCTCACTTCTTCATGTAGAACAGCAGAGATTTGTTGCAAACTTAACAGCACTTAAGACAAAGGAATTTGCAAGTCAGACAGCTCTGGGAATTTTGCATTTCTGCTCCTAACACAAGACTCAAGAGCAGCAGGACAATTTCAGGGAAGACACTCAGATCCTACAAACAGTAACCACTGCTAACACACTGACTCCCTGAGAAACCCTCACATCCTATTCTGCATAAGACATGGCAGGATTAATCAGCACAGCAAAATGAGGATCCACATCATAACCACACTCACATAAACAAGCAGGAGGATGCTGCCTCCAAACATGTTCCCAGGCATCTCCCACCCTTCTAAATGATCCAAGTTCCTGAGTATTTCCTCTCCCCACACAGTATTCCCCAGGCCCAGCCTCATTCCAAGTAGCTCCTTCACACCAAACCCATTTAATTTTTCTGCTAAGACAACCCCTCACACAGAGCAAGCAAATGGAGGCCAAAAGGAAGCCAAAGCTACAACAGCTATGGATACCTCTCAACACCAGGGAAATCCCCTGCAGGCAAAGCCTAGAAAGGAAAGCACAGCAACACCACAGACCAGTATAGGACTGGCAGCTGAAGAGAGTGCTGAATCAGACAGAAGGGGACAAGGCTAAATTTTGTAAGCACAGAAGGGCTTAATGAAAATGTACCCAACTCAGGGTCAGCACTGCCAGTTTCCTGCTCCTCTGCAACATCCCTTAAACCCTCTTTGCTCCCAGACAGGTGATTTGCTCCCTGACAACAACAGCAAATGCCCATCACTTGAGTCACAATGAGACACAGCACCGTTACTTGACATGTCAGCTGCTAATGGTCTTCTGCCTTCTCTCTGCTACCATTCTTCTGGCTGCATTAAGACTGAAGGAAAACCCTCCAAAGGAACGACTGTAAGAGGATGCTCCTACCTTTCTAGTCGCTTGTTGCTCAGCTGCTGGATTTGCTCCTGCTGCGCTGCTGTAAGCGGAGTGTGGAGGCTTTTGGAGTTCAAACTCTGAAACTGAAGACAAGGTCACTTTAAAACTTGCCCACTGGTGCCACTTGGGTGTCCTCTGCACCCTGCCAAAGGCATCCTCTGGGGAGACCCAGCATGCTGACAAACACATATGCCTGGGACTGTTGGAAACCACAAATGATTAGGAGAACCTATCTGCATGTTTAAAACCAACCCTGTACAACTGTTCTTCTGCTACTTTTCGGGGCTCAGAAGAATAGGTAAAATTAAGAATCATTCCACCAAGCAAATCAGGGTACAGTGTGGGTGTATATGTCATGGGTTACATTTCAGTCTCTGCAAAAGAAGGCATTTAAGTGACCCCAAGTGTTCTACTGGCATTAATAAACTATGCCTGACCCTCTCTGCCATCTAAGGTAGGGAAAAGTTGTTCTACTTCCTATAAGTGAGATAAAGAGAAAGGTAAGGGATTCAACCAAAATGACAAAGTGAGAGGCACGCGTACAGACCTTATTCTTTTCCTATTACTTAACTGTTTTTGCTCCCAGGACAAATGCCAGGATATATTCACTGGATTCTCTTGCTTCAGGGATCCCATTTGTCTCAAACACCTTCTGCCAGTATTTGACCACATCAGTGGCAGTCACAAGCCGAGGTCTTGTACTGCAGCTCTGCCTCAGAGATGACTGCTTTGGACTGAGGATAGGACATTCACTTTGACTCAATCCCCCTAGCACACACTGAGGTGAGAGATCCAACAACCTCCTGAGCAGTGGGTGCGTGAGGCATTTCATTGTTCTGAAATCAGTTCCTGGCTTCCACATGTGTTCCTCGTTGCCACCAGCTGACCTAGTCAGTGCTAGATCTCCAGGACATTTGGTGCTACCACAAGCCGCTGTGGCTAAGCACCAGCTGACCACAATCAGTGCGTTCTCCTCAGGGCAGCATGAAAATGGCACTGGTTTGCAGCTCTTCTGGTCTAGAAAAGGAGGCAAGAGTACTCACACTAGCAAATCACAGGTTCCCCTCTGACGGAATGCAGACTGCTTGCCCTAATCCCAGCCCACAGGTACAAAACAATTACTCACACCCTAAGAGTAACAAATGATTACCCCAAGAAAAGATTCAGGTGACAGCTAACCAGCTCTGCCACTGCAACCCATTTCTTTGCAGAGCTGCCCATCTCCGCAGGCCAGAGCTACTAGGAGGCCAGTCTGTGCCCATGGCAAGGCAGAAGTGAGTGTGCCTACACACAGACACAGCACTCCTGCCTATCCTTGGTCCCAGAAAGCCACAGACACACCAACCTTCAGCTCCAGCCCCTTGGCTCTCCACCCCATGGGTGGGTCACCCCGGTTCCCTGCAGGAAGACCTTCACTCTCCACACACAGCACTCCTGCCTATCCTTGGTCCCAGAAAGCCACAGACACACCAACCTTCAGCTCCCCCCTTGGCTCTCTCCACCCCATGGGTGGGTCACCCCGGTTCCCTGCAGGAAGACCTTCACTGGACCTGGACAGGCTGGACAGGCTGGATCTATAATTCTAGATTCTTTCTTTTATTCTTCTCTCTGTTCATAAACCACAAGTCCTAGGTTAGTGGGTGCGCTCACAGAAGACCTTGACTCCATGGGTCAAGGGTCCTCCACACTGTCACCATCCCCACAGAGCACACAAGGGGCAACAGAGCCAGGGCTGAGCTGCTAAGAGCAGGGGAAGGAGAAAAGCTCACAAGGTACAACCAGAGGGAAGAGAAACACTTGAAAGACGCAAAGGCCAGAAAAGGCAAACCCTGCCAGAGGGAAGTCAGTCTCTTAAAGGACAGAACAGGCACAGCCAGACAGAGAGGGAAGAAAACAAACAAGATGACTGCAGGAGACAAAGGACATGAAACTTTACAAAACAGCTGCTGCATCTCACACTTGGAACTGTGTTTTAACGGAGACAAACAGAACAACCCCACTTTCCTGCTGTGATCCATCAGAAATGAGGGCCCCCCTCCCTTCTGACTCACAGTCCCTGGAGCCACTGTGGGTTTCCCTGAGCACCCATTCCCATTCCTCTAATGATGGCTGCTTTTCATCACTGTCTTGGAGAGGCCACAACCTCCCCTCCTCCAACTCCTCCGGAAAACCACCACACAAACAACTAAATACCTCTCCCCAGCAGCCAGCAGCACCCAGGGTGGGTGGCTCTCTGCTCTGTAGGAGTGCGGCTGCTGCAGGGAGATCTGGGGAGGCTGGGTCAGCTCCCACCTGGGCAGATGCTGGCACTGAATCCTTGCAGCAACCCTGGACCCTGCTGCATGCGCAGGCAGCAGCGTGGGGCCTGCCCTGCTCTTGCTGCACAGTGAAACTGTGGGAAGACTCAGGCCTCCACTGCCCTCCTTTGCAAAATCAAACCAAACAGAGCCCAGGGAAGCAGCAGAAGGAATACCCTGCAGCAAAGATCTCGAGATTGGCTTACCTGCTACCTCCTAGCCAAAGGGCAGGTGCTCTAAAAGCGCAAGGACCCCCTTCTTACCATCTTCCTTACCCCCATCAGAGAGATAAGCAGCTCCTATGAAAACTTGCCTTCGTTATGCATAAGCAGTCTGACAGCTACAGTCTTTACACGAGCACCTCCCTACTCCAAGGCCCTGTTTTGGGGATACTGCCACAAGAGGAACACTAAAGGAATAAAACATTAACCATTAGTATTGTTAGGGACGCAGATAAGACTTTAATTGGCCATGGCTGGAACAATGCTGCCACTATTGTCATTATTAATAAAGGAGACCAGCTACTGATGCAAGGCCCCTGCCAAGAACAGTCCCTGTATGCTACTTCTTGGTGCAAATACCTGTTTGCACACAGGCATATACTTTTTTCCTGCAGTTCTGTGGTTTGGTCCGTTCAACCCCCAGTTCCCCACTCACTGTGGTCCAACACGTACACTGGTGACCATCGAAAGGCACGGCCTGTCCCACTCTTGGCACCTGCCCTACACTCCCTGTCTCGCTCACAAGGCTCGGGCAGGAGCTGGGGCTTGTGCTGTACAAGTCGATACCTTTCTGCTTTTGTGTTAGTGGTCAGCTGAACCGGCCCCTCGCACAGCCCCGCCGGCCGTACCGGGGGAGGGGGTACAAGTCCCCATTTGCCAGCCAGGGAGCCACCCACCCACCTTCAGTGACCGGGCGGCTTTCCGGCGGTAAACGAGCCCCACAGAACACTGCCGGTACGGGAGCCCGCCCTTCCTTCCAGCTGTCCCGACCTTCCCTGTGCACGCAATACCCTCACCAACGCCAGGCACCCCTCCTGGCCTGCACCGCAGCGCTGGCGCGGGGTACCTTTACCTGGGCGGCG